TCTTCTCTACAGCCTTTCAAAGTCCAGAATGTATAAAGCTTGTCCGAGCTGTCAGAAAAAGGGGGTGGAGAGCTGAAGTTACACTCTGCAGAGTTCTGTGGGGAGAGCTCTGGGAGGTGATTGAAGGGAATTGACACACACCCCTCCGCACAGCACACAGGAACAGAGCATGCAATCTGCTGGTGGTCCCTCCCCTGTCACCATTTTACCTCTTGGTGTCAGGAACATTTGTCACAAGTGACACATGCTAATAGCAGAGGAAGGAGGTAGCAGATGAAAATGATACTTAGTGCTCTTGATTGAGACAAGTACACACTATAGAGAGATATGCTTTATTCATATTTCATGTCTGAGGTTTACAACCACTTTGAATGAAAATATGGAAGTATTTTTAGAAAATGTATTGCAGCATTTACCTTATGTGTCTATTCTTCCATGTTTTTGCAATTGCATTAACCTCTTCCATACCGGGCACTTTTACCCCCCTTCCTGCCCAGGCCAGTTTTCAGATTTCAGCGCTCTCACACTTTGAATGACAATTGCGCGGTCATGCAACACTGTACCCAAACTAAAATTTTATCATTTTTTCACACAACTAGAGCTTTCTTTTGGTGGTATTTAATCACCGCTGGGGTTTTTATTTTTTGTTAAATTAACAAAAAAAAGACCATAAATTTTGAAAAGAAAAATACGATTTTCTTTGTTTCTGTTATAAAAGTTTGCAAATAAATAATTGTTCTTCATAAGTTTAGGCCGAGATGTATTCTGCTACATGTCTTTGGTGAAAATAACCCAAATCAGTATTTATTATTTAGTCTGTAGGAAAGTTATAGAGTTCACAAACTATGGGATTTATCTGAAAATTGATCAATCCTGAAGTACTGACGGCCAATCTAATTTTTTGAGGTCCAAGAATGTCAGAACAGTACAGATATCCCCCCAAATGTCAGAATAGTACAGATATCCCCCAAATGTCAGAACGGTACAGATATCCCCCAAATGTCAGGACAGTACAGATATCCCCCAAATGTCAGAACGGTACAGATATCCCCCAAATGTCAGGACAGTACAGATATCCCCCAAATGTCAGAACGGTACAGATATCCCCCAAATGTCAGGACAGTACAGATATCCCCCAAATGTCAGGACGGTACAGATATCCCCCAAATGTCAGGACGGTACAGATATCCCCCAAATGTCAGGACGGTACAGATATCCCCCAAATGTCAGGACGGTACAGATATCCCCCAAATGTCAGAACGGTACAGATATCCCCCAAATGTCAGGACGGTACAGATATCCCCCAAATGTCAGGACGGTACAGATATCCCCCAAATGTCACGACGGTACAGATATCCTCCAAATGTCAGAACGGTACAGATATCCCCCAAATGTCAGGACAGGACAGATATCCCCCAAATGTCAGGACGGTACAGATATCCCCCAAATGTCAGCACGGTACAGATATCCCCCAAATGTCAGCACGGTACAGATATCCCCCAAATGTCAGCACGGTACAGATATCCCCCAAATGTCAGAACGGTACAGATATCCTCCAAATGTCAGGACAGTACAGATATCCCCCCAAATGTGAGGACGGTACAGATATCCCCCAAATGTCAGGACGGTACAGATATCCCCCAAATGTCAGAACAGTACAGATATCCCCCAAATGACCCCTTTTTGCAAAGTAGACAGTCCAACGTATTTCATAAGAGGCATGGTGAGTTTTTTTAAGTTATAATTTTTTGTCATAATTTTTCGGAAAATGAAAAAATTAAAAAAATTATTTTCACTATTTTTTTTTTTTACATATTGTCACAAATGCAGTACAGCATCATCATAAAACTGGCATGGTGGTGATAAGGGACACTGACTTGTGACAGTACGAAAAAAAAATTATAATTTTTTTTAATTTTTTATTAGTTTTAATTTTTTATTACATTTTTTTTCTCTTTTTTTAAGATTTATTTTCATATTTTACTATGACCAAAGTAGTATAATGTTACCATAGTAATTTAATTTTTGGTCTTTTTTTGTTAATTTAGCAAAAAATAAAAACCCCAGCGGTGATTAAATACCACCAAAAGAAAGCTCTAGTTGTGTGAAGAAAATGATAACATTTTAGTTTGGGTACAATGTTGTATGACCGCGCAATTGTCATTCAAAGTGTGAGAGCGCTGAAACCTGAAAACTGGCCTGGGCAGGAAGGGGGGTAAAAGTGCCCGGTATGGAAATGGTTAAAAATCAAACAAATTACATTGAACCCATAAGCAAACATTTATTTAGCTTACCCATTCTTAGATGTGATGGCTGTATTAGTTTTTTTAGGCTTTCTTTCTTTTATTTTCTCCTGGTGATCTGGCCAGTTATCTGTTCAAAGAGCAAGCTCTCTTGCAACTTTTGCAGTTACCGGAATGAGACAAATCAATTAACACTGATCACTGTGATTACAATGATCAGATTTTATTTATTATTTAAAACCTTTTTCCCAAAAGGAATCAAAAACTGTTTGCTGTAACAATGTTGCTGTCCAGATGTGCCCTCTGTGCTCCTTCATCCAGGGTGGGGGCACTCTAATACAGCGGGTGTGTTACTGGCCAGATCACCAGTGAAGGTGCGTGTTGAGAGGTCGCTTCCTAGGAGCAACTTTTTAGTAATATCAGCCCCAAGTATCGCCATAATTTATTTCAGTGTGGGTTGGTGTCACCCTCAGACTGAAGGCCCTGAGGGTGACTGGTGAAGGACCCTGTTTTCTACTTCATCCGGTGACATGGTCAGTGTGGTTGGTGTCACCCTCAGACTGAAGGCCCTGAGGGTGACTGGTGAAGGACCCTGTTTTCTTCTTCAGCCGGTGACATGGTCAGTGTGGGTTGGTGTCACCCTCAGACTGAAGGCCCTGAGGGTGACTGGTGAAGGACCCTGTTTTCTTCTTCATCTGGTGACATGGTCAGTGTGGGTTGGTGTCACCCTCAGACTGAAGGCCCTGAGGGTGACTGGTGAAGGACCCTGTTTTCTTCTTCATCCGGTGACATGGTCAGTGTGGGTTGGTGTCACCCTCAGACTGAAGGCCCTGAGGGTGACTGGTGAAGGACCCTGTTTTCTTCTTCAGCTGGTGACATGGTCTTTTCTTACCTGTCCCGAAATATGACTCCAAAGCATTTTGAGGAAGTAATACTAGGTATATACTAAACTCCACCAGCTTGTCTTGTATCTTCATGGTACACCTTGAACTGCATCCCTCTCAGGCATACAGGGAAACCACCATACTTGTCTCCACAAGCCATTATACACCGTGACCCACGGCAGGTAGGCAGGTCCTGTATCGTAGCAGGTTACAACATGGAGGCCCTGCCACTAAGTGAGGTGCATGAAATATGAAGTTGCTCTTTCTCTACCAGGACCTCCATCACCTGCCACTATCACTGCTTCCAGGGCCATCTTAAAAGCATCATGGGCCCCTGGGCAAATAAATACACTGGGGTCCTTACCAGCCTGCTCCAATTTACACACCTATTCTCAAGAATTAAAGTATAAAGAGTTGATAGAATTAAACATATATTTATTAGTACTTTTAATAAAATCAATTTTAAACAATAATAAAATGTGCCATAAATTAAAGACTAATACTGGCCAACCCGGGACAGCTTAGTAAAAAGCGTGGCTGTCCTGGCAAATCCGCGCCAGGTGGCTAGTATGATGTAATGCAAAATTATCATGGGGCCCCCATGCACCTGGGGCCCCTGGGCAGTGCCCAGGGGTTCCCATGCATTAACCACATGCTGACCGGCCGCTGTATGTAAACACCGGGACTGTGGCAGTCTAGGGGCGGGTTGGCGTTTATAAACAGCGCCCGCCATTATGGACTGTGCGCACTCCCTGGGAGCACGCAGCACCGCGATCCAGTGCTCGCTTTGTCCTCCGGACACAGTGGGACATCAATCATCATACGGGACCTCTGTGCAAGGTCCCGATCATGTGATCACTGATTGGCCAATCAGTGATCACATGCAGAGTAGTAAGCAAGATGTCACTTGTGACATCATTGCTTATTACATGTGAAATCTGTGAATGATCACATAGGTCACATGGTACAAGGCTATTCACAACAGCCTTGTACCATGTGACAAGCTGTGACCAATCACAGCTCTCACTGTAGTTCTCAATGGCTGCAAGAATGCAGACAGAGAGAAGGAGAAATGATTGCTTTTACAGCCTTTATGGGTGAAAAAGCAATCAGTGTAAAAAAAAAGAAAAACATCTTCATCACCCCCCACAAGTAGTACAGTGTCACCAAGGTGACACTGTACTACTTGTGGGGGGTGATGAAGATTTTTTTTTTTTTTTTTTACACTGATTGCTTTTACACCCATAAAGGCTGTAAAAGCAATTGGTGACAATGTACTGCTAGGGTGACAGTATGTAGAAAAAAAAAACATAAATAATAATATAAAAAAATAAGATAAAATGTAAAAAAAAATTTTTTAAATTATAGTTTTTGGTTATAAACTAATATGGGTTATTTTTTTTTACTAAAAAGATAACTGAATAAATTTTGGACACGATTTATGATGAAATATTATTAATCTGCAAAAATTTTATAAGAAAAACACTTTTTTTCAAAATTTTTGGACTTTTTCATTTATATAGCAAAAAAATTAAAATCTCAGTGGTGAATAAATACCACCAAAATAAAGCTTTATCTGTCTCAAAAAAATACTAAAAAATTCATATGAGTACAGCGTTGCATGACCGCGCAATTGTCATTCAAAGTGTGATAGCGCTGAAAGCTGAAAATTGGCCTGGACAGGAAGGGGGGGAAAGTGTCCGGACAGGAAGGGGGTGAAAGTGTCCGGACTGGAAGGGGGGGGGAAAGTGTCCGGACTGGAAGGGGGGGAAAGTGTCCGGACTGGAAGGGGGTGAAAGTGTCCAGACTGGAAGGGGGGGAAAGTGTCCGGACTGGAAGGAGGTGAAAGTGTCCGGACAGGAAGGGGGTGAAAGTGTCCGGACTGGAAGGGGGTGAAAGTGTCCAGACTGGAAGGGGGGGAAAGTGTCCGGACTGGAAGGAGGTGAAAGTGTCCGGACAGGAAGGGGGTGAAAGTGTCCGGACTGGAAGGGGGTGAAAGTGTCCGGACTGGAAAGGGGTGAAAGTGTCCGGACTGGAAGGGGGTGAAAGTGTCCGGACAGGAAGGGGGGTGAAAGTGTCCGGACTGGAAGGGGGGTGAAAGTGTCCGGACTGGAAGGGGGTGAAAGTGTCCGGACTGGAAGGGGGTGAAAGTGTCCGGACTGGAAGGGGGGAAAGTGTCCGGACTGGAAGGGGGTGAAAGTGTCCGGACTGGAAGGGGGTGAAAGTGTCCGGACAGGAAGGGGGTGAAAGTGTCCGGACAGGAAGGGGGGTGAAAGTGTCCGGACTGGAAGGGGGGTGAAAGTGTCCGGACTGGAAGGGGGGTGAAAGTGTTCGGACTGGAAGGGGGTGAAAGTGTCCGGACTGGAAGGGGGTGAAAGTGTCCAGACTGGAAGTGGTTAAGACAGCCCTGACTGCTCTCTCTGCCGGTTGGCAGCTTCTCTTTCTCTTTACACTCTTCTTAACTCTACAAGGTTACCTGTGATGTTCACTCTTGTATTTCGGAACCTGGAGGACTTAATTCTGGTTTCACTTGTTCCCTGTTCTTCTGAATACTCCATGACTACACATTATAGCATTACATTTAATTTCTCTATTTCAAGTGAAGGACACAGACAACTTTTTCTTTACATCAGAACTTTACAAAATACAGACAAGGTGAAGGTAGATATGATATATGGAAAAAAGAATTTCCTTACAGAACGGTTCTAAACAGGGGCGGACTGACAACTCATGAGGCCCCCGGGCAATAGGGGATCATGGGGCCCCTGTGTCCTTGCCCAAACTCAAAAAAGCCTATGAAAAAGGTACCAGGGGCATCTCATGGGGCCCCCTACTGACCCCGGGCCCTTGGGCAGTGCCCGAGTTTCCAAATGGTCAGTCCGCCCCTGGTTCCAAAAAACAACTGTACATTGCATAATTTTGTCTGCGCATGATCTGTGCTGAGGTCAACTGTATTGTTTCCTAGTGTTGCTGTTTCTTTAGTGGTGTAGCCCACACTATGGTGAGGAAGGGGGGTGTTTTTGTTTCTTTTTTGTCTGAGTGTAGATCTATGCTTGTCCCAAACATGTTTGAAGCTATTTACGGTTGACATTGTCTGTTATATTGTAGAGTGCTGCATAAACTGCGCTATATCTCTATCTCTCCATTCAGTCGTATCCAACCCTTGGTGATTGCATGGACTGTCACTTGTAAGTCTTTTTCCATGAACTCTCTTAGCAATTATTTTACAGGGTAGGTTGCCAGGTCTTTCCCCAACCCCCACCATGCAGAAGATCCCGCATGGCCAGAGATGAAACTAGGACAATTTAGACAGGAGCCAATTAACCTACCAGCATGTCTTTGGAGTGTGGAAGGAAACCGGATGAAACCCATGCAAACACAGGGAGAACATGCAAACTCCATGCAGGAGGTGCCATGGTTGGGAATTGAACCCATGACCCAATTACTGCAAGGCAGAAGTGCTAACCACTAAGCCACTGTGCCGCCCTTGCACTATATAAATCCTGTATAATAGAATAATAATAATAATAGTAATAATAATAATAATATTATTATTAAGTAAAGACAAAACTTTTTTTTTAGTTTTGGATAAAGTGGGGAGGGGTTAGAATCCCTGTCAGCTTTTTTACTGCTAAAAGAGAAGAACAAGTTGCAGCGCCAGCACAACCAAGGTTGCAAAAATAAACATATAGTCAATTCCAATTCAACCACCCCAGAGTGAGTGGAGGTGTGCAATTTATCGGAATAGATCTCGTCCAGTTCATACACAATTCTCACGAAGGGCAATGAGTGGTAAGCGATGTAATAAGATGTAAATCACTTACCGCTCATTGCCCTTCATGGGAATTGTGTATGAACTGGACGAGATCTATTCCGATAAATTGCACACCTCCACTCACTCTGGGGTGGCTGAATTGGAATTGACTATATGTTTATTTTTGCAACTTTGGTTGTACTAGCATTGCACCTTGTTTTTCCTTTTTAACCCCCCTGGCGGTATTCCCGAGTGTAGCTCGGGGTAAAGTTTCAGCACCACAAGCGGTAACCCCGAGCTACACTCGGGAATACACTGCAGCGTTGCTCCGGGATCCCTCGATCACTTACCTTGTCCTGCACTCCCGCGACGTCCCTCCTGCAGTGTCCCGGGCAATGTAATCCGGCGGATGTCGGCATCTGTCTTCTGGGTTCCATTCCTTGCGAGCGTCGGGATGTACAGGGGACGGAACGGCGGGAAATTTGAAAATGACAAAAAGTGACATTCACTAAATACACTAAAATCACATAGTATAACATTCCTGTATCAAACCATTTCACATACATTTTGTCCCGAGTGCTTTGTCCTGCGTCCTGCCTGCATTGTTACTGTTCTTTCTGCCTGGAAACTGAGAAACGTCCATAGCGTCCAAAAAGCGTCCCTTTAGGTCAAAAGCGGTTTTAGACCGGCTAGAGAACAGCGATAGTAAATCAGAACCACTTGCAGAATTGAGTGATAATGATTCGTGGGGGAAATTCCTCATCAGACACTGAAAACGATTCTGCGACTGAGCTCAGCGATGTGCGAACTTGGCGCTATATTTCACATTTCAGTGTTTTTGGTTTGATTATAATATTGAATTACATTTATTATTATTATTATATTATTATTTTTTTTATGATTATTTATTAAATTATAATTTATGATTTCGTGTTTCAAGTTTTATCCTCCCCGGGATGTTTACTAGACTCTTGTTCGGACAGAGTTCAGTGAGTTATTCCTAAAAATTACAGGCCTACAATAAAAAAAATACATATTTCCATGCAAAAAAAGTACCGCTTTGAGCACAGAAATACTGACATAATCAGACCGCTAGGGAGGTTAACAGTGTAGTTTGTTGCCTGAAAATAGTGCTAGCTTCTCGTATTTATATATTTACATTTTTTTGATCATTTAGGTTTCTTACTGTTCTCTGTGCCAGTGTTACAGAGATTCACCCTCTCTATTTGTCCTGCTATTGCTAAATCCCAGATGGTGAGTTGTCACCAGAACAGGAATAGAGAAGAAATCCTCTAGTTCTGGTGACACTAGTTCTGGTGACTACTCACTTTGGAGGGATTTCCCCTCGTGTTTTCACTACAGGGTTGGAAATCTCCCCAATGGGACACAGGTGGCAGTCAGTTCTAATTTAAGACTGGACCTCCAGATTCTGGCACATGGTTCTTTTTCAGTCAAATCTGAAATTTTTGGATCACTTACCTTCAAATCAAAGCCCGTTGCTAATGTTCCAGATGGGCAGTTTTGCATCAATCCCCAGTCACCCCAAGGACCACCATTGGTTACATAAATCTCTAAGCCATGGGTCAATGTGGTGTGAAGGAGGGTCAAGGTGAGAATCCAGGTCAGCATCATCTTCCTCACAATGGGTGTTCAGAGTAGACCAGATATTCTGGGACCAGTCTACGGAGCTCCCATATTTATAGCACTGACACAATGTCAGCCAAAGGACGCTGGGTGGGGCAATTACTGAATTTGTTAAAGGTTTACTAAAATGTTTAATTTCCAAGAACAAATACGAACAAGGACGTTGTGAAAAAAAAGTGCTGTGGGGGCTGTCAGGTGAAGATTTCCTGTCTGGGATTTAAAGTATATGTAAAAAATAAGCAGTATATCTCCACAATACATGCACCTTTCCCAGTGTATTATCTAGAGATGAGCGAATTATTCAAAAATTCGATTCGGCTGATTCGGCGAATTCGTGGAAAAAAATCGATTCGAGTCGAATATATTCGCTGCGAATTTAACTTATAAAAGGGTGTTTCTAGGCTTCAGAGAGCCTTTATATTAGTGCAGAACACTGTACCTTTAATTTAAATGCCCTTGGAGTCTGCTGGGGAAGAGAAATAATACTGTCAGTCAGTATGACATGCAGATGAGTGCCGTCGATCTTAGAATCACCGCACACTTCACTCATTTGGGCAGTCACGGGGCCAAAACCAGAGTGTGGAGCCACAGTGTGGCGGTGGAGGCAGCAGCAATGGGAGGCCATACAGCACCCTATGACAAAATGGAACCAACCAGCAGTGTGAGGAGACCTGAAAGTGGCACATGGCAGAGTGTGGCGATGGAGACAGCAGCAATGGGAGGCCGTACAGGGACCCATGACACACTCTGGACCTGGCAGCAGCATGAGGAGGCGGTACAGGGGCCCATGACAGATTACGGGCCTGGCAGCAGCATGAGGAGTCGGTACGGGGGCCCATGGCAGATTACGGGCCTGCAGCAGCAATGGGAGGCCATACAGCACCCTATGACAAAATGGAACCCACCAGCAGTGTGAGGAGACCTGAAAGTGGCACATGGCAGAGTGTGGCGATGGAGACAGCAGCAATGGGAGGCCGTACAGGGACCCATGACACACTCTGGACCTGGCAGCAGCATGAGGAGGCGATACAGGGGCCCATGACAGATTACGGGCCTGGCAGCAGCATGAGGAGTCGGTACGGGGGCCCATGGCAGATTACGGGCCTGGCAGCAGCAATGGGAGGCCATACAGCACCCTATGACAAAATGGAACCCACCAGCAGTGTGAGGAGACCTGAAAGTGGCACATGGCAGAGTGTGGCGATGGAGACAGCAGCAATGGGAGGCCGTACAGGGACCCATGACACACTCTGGACCTGGCAGCAGCATGAGGAGGCGGTACAGGGGCCCATGACAGATTACGGGCCTGGCAGCAGCATGAGGAGTCGGTACGGGGGCCCATGGCAGATTACGGGCCTGGCAGCAGCAATGGGAGGCCATACAGCACCCTATGACAAAATGGAACCCACCAGCAGTGTGAGGAGACCTGAAAGTGGCACATGGCAGAGTGTGGCGATGGAGACAGCAGCAATGGGAGGCCGTACAGGGACCCATGACACACTCTGGACCTGGCAGCAGCATGAGGAGGCGGTACAGGGGCCCATGACAGATTACGGGCCTGGCAGCAGCATGAGGAGTCGGTACGGGGGCCCATGGCAGATTACGGGCCTGGCAGCAGCAATGGGAGGCCATACAGCACCCTATGACAAAATGGAACCCACCAGCAGTGTGAGGAGACCTGAAAGTGGCACATGGCAGAGTGTGGCGATGGAGACAGCAGCAATGGGAGGCCGTACAGGGACCCATGACACACTGTGGACCTGGCAGCAGCATGAGGAGGCGGTACAGGGGCCCATGGCAGATTACGGGCCT